GAACTGTTTCTTGATTAATTTGTGGATATAATGTTAAAATGTGGCTATATTTTAAATTTCAGACATCACATGCTTATCAGTTCTATTCTTGTTCTGTTTGCTTCTTGTCATAATCGTGATCAGATTTTGTTATGTAAGACTGAACGAAAAGATTCCTTTTGTTTTTCCTTTGTCAGAAGTAAGTTTTTAAGTGTTTTATTTTTAATTTCTGTAATTTGTTAAATTTAATTTTTTTTAGTTAAATCAAGTTTCCCGGGATGTGAACTACACGCCAAATTATACGGTCTGTAATTAAAAATAATCTTTTTCATTCCTACTGCAACATGTGAACATGCTATGACATCTACAGTATTTCTCTGAAGTGCATTTCAGTATTATCGAACCGATGGCTTTTAATCTTATTTGCGTTTATATGTTTAACTATTTTTCGTTTTAATTATTAGTTTTTTAATATCATCTTTGGAGATTTAAACGAAGTATTTTTGAAGTTTTCAAATTAAATTATTTTAGAATTTAGAATCTGTACTTCTGTACAAACTAAATCAACTAAAATGTTTAAAAGTTGTACAATTTTTGTGATTAAAAATGTTTATGTTTTCAAAATTTTAGACTTTTCTACAAATCGTTTTTATATTTACCATATTCTGATTGTTAAACTGCCATATTCTGGTGCTTATATACAAATTAGCATGTTGGTCTATGGACAATCCTTTTCAAGTTATTTTTTTGTCCAATCACCACAAAATGCTATTAAGTCTATTAATTTTGATCTGGTCGCAAATGTTTTCATTCGCGTTATACATTTATAACTACCCATTAGTTAAGTTCGTTATTGTTTTAAATTACCCGGTTCTTGTTTTCGATATTTTTATACATATTCAAATCGTCTATATATTTACAATGTTCTGATTCTTATACAAGCCAAACTCTGGTGCATATACAATTATCTGATTCTTTTACAAGACATATTCTGATGTATTGGTGTATATACAAATCGTTTGTATGTTATTAATATGTTGGCCCATGTACGACCCATTTTTTTGTGAAGTTAATTCAATGACCCAAATACATGTTTTCATTCGCATTATACATTTATTACTACTCATTACTACAGGCTTTTGATCGAGTACCGAGGAAGGTCATTGAATGGGCGTTGAGGAAGAAAGGAGTGAATGAGAGACTTGTTAAAGCTGTGATGCAGCTGTATGAAGGGGCAAAGACAAAGGTGAGGGTTGGAAGGGGGATGTCGGACGCTTTTAGTGTTAAGGTAGGAGTGCATCAAGGATCAGTGTTATCACCGTTTCTGTTTGCAATTGTGATGGATGTTGTGTGTGGAAACATAATGGAGGGGTTGTTATTTGAGATTTTGTATGCAGATGATTTAGTCTTGATGGCTGATAGCATGGAAGAATTGCAGTTAAAATTTGACAGATGGAAAAGTGTTATTGAAAAGAAAGGGTTAAAAGTTAATATTGGTAAGACGAAGGTAATGGTGAGTGGGGAAGGTGGGGAACGAGTGATAAGTAAAATAGACCCCTGTGGGGTATGTGATAAGAGAGTGAAGGCTAACTCGGTATTGTGTATAGGATGTCAGAAATGGGTGCATAAGAGATGTAGTGGTGTGAGGGGGGCACTGAAAAAGGTGGAAGGCACGTTCAAATGTAAGAAATGTGTTCATGGTGTGATTAATAGGACGGACGCAAGGACGGGGTTGAGTGATGGTATTGAAAGAGTGGAAAGCTTTGTTTACTTAGGGGATAAGCTGAATGCGGATGGAGGATGTTTGAGCGCAGTTACGGCTAGAGTTCGTGTGGGATGGATGAAATTTAGGGAACTGGGTGGGGTATTGTGTGGAAAGAAATGGTCAGTGAAGATGAAAGGGAGGGTATATAAAGCATGTGTGAGAGCAGCGATGATATATGGTGGTGAAACTTGGGTGTTGAGGAGAGAGGAGGAAAGTGTACTGCAGAGGGCTGAAAGAGCTATGGTGAGGATGATGTGTGGGGTTAAAGTGAAGGATAGGAGGAGTAGTACAGAGCTGATGTCAATGATGGGACTGAATGAGGACATTGTGACATTGATAAGGAGATCGAGATTGCGGTGGTATGGACATGTGTTGAGAAGGGATGAAAGGGTCGGGATTAGGCGAGCGTTGGAGTTCGAGGTTGAAGGAGTGGTAGGAAGGGGTCGTCCGCGATTGGGATGGAGAGAGCAGGTGGAGAAGGACAGGGTGAAAGCGGGGTTGCGTGATACTGAGGCGAGTGACAGATGTGGATGGAGTCGAGGGGTATTTCGGTTTCATCATAGGTAGCCAAGCGGCAACCCCCGATCTCGGGGAAAATGCCGTCTAAACGTGTGTTTGTTTGTTTGTACTACTCATTAATTATGTTTTCTATTTGTTTTAAGTTTTTTTTTTATTTTTAATTGAAAGGAAATAAATGTTTTTGGTTCAGATTTTTTCTCGTTTGCTATAACGCTCTCACCCGGCATTCTGCATATTGTCCGAGGAGATCTAGTTTTTTGGCATTTTTATGTAAACTTTTTGTTTTCCAAACTGGTTTCAAATTTTTTCATTGCAATTTTTAATAATGTCGACAGTAGTGATGTGGTAATAACGAGTCACCTTGTCAGTTCCAATTTTTTTGCTTTGATCCGATCTCTGAATTCTGCTTATTGAATCTTTGTTTAGTGCCTTAAATGTTTTAACCAGATTTTCTGATGACCTCTTACTTTATAATCCACAATCTTTCACGTGGAATGTTTTGTGAAATCTATTAAACAATGGTAGATGGTTTGCCCACTACTGTTTGCATTTTCTGAAACCTGCCTGCTTTTCTCAAATGTTCTATACTTTTTCCGTAATCTTGCTTATTTAAGGATCGGCAATTGTTGCAATTTTTCAAGTCACCCTTATTGGTAACATAACTAGAGCGTTTCTCTGGCTATATTCAGATTTTCCAAATTTTCTAAGAGATTCTGTAATTCTTCTGGTCTTCCTGTTTTTATCAAGTTTCTTTGTAATTCCATATTTCTCTGTACCAACTCTCGTCTTTTTAATTTTTTTAAACAGCTCGCTTTATATTTTTCAATTGTTATTTCAGTTTCTATTTTTTTATTGGCTATCTTTTTTCGGTTAGAAATATTCATGTTTGATTGAGATTGAAAGAGATTAAGTTTGAATATGACATAAAACTGCCTCCACGCTGCCTTGCGTGCTTTTGAGCGAAAGGCTAGGCTTACCGCTTATAACTGGTGGTTGTCGTCAGGATGGGTGTCCGGATGTAAAAACTTTTCCCCAAATTATTCCTATGCCATCACAAAGAAAAACAACGGCCCCTAGTCCCCAGCAGGCCTTAAGTGGTCAAGAGGTGCCAAGAATCCCTGGGAAGTATGCAATAGCGGAGGGATGTTGCAGAAAAATTCAGAATGGCCCTTCTATGGTACTTAGGCGCAAAAAGTTGATGGCAAAGAAAACAACGTCCTACCTCGGGAAACCGGGTCTCTGGACGCAAAACGAAGATTGATTGATTGATATTGAGATTCATTGCGGACAGGACATCTATGTTCAGCAGTTCGCTTCAAACTCGTCAACAACAACACACGTTTAGACGACATTTTCCCCGAGATCGGGGGTTGCCGTTTGGCTACCTATGATGAAACCGAAATACCCCTCGACGCCATCCACATCTGTCACTCGCCTCAGTATCACGCAACCCCGCTTTCACCCTGTCTTCCACCTGCTCTCTCCATCCCAATCGCGGACGACCCCTTCCTACCACTCCTTCAACCTCGAACTCCAACGCTCGCCTAATCCCGACCCTTTCATCCCTTCTCAACACATGTCCATACCACCGCAATCTCGATCTCCTTATCAATGTCACAATGTCCTCATTCAGTCCCATCATTGACATCAGCTCTGTACTACTCCTCCTATCCTTCACTTTAACCCCACACATCACACGTCAAACTCGTCAGCAATTAGATATTATTTTGACGACCTATACCTAGTTATTAAAAGTTGGGCATTATTTGTAAGAAAAGATGCAAATTAAAACGTTGAAAATTTTCAACCAAATACCGGAAGTCAGTTTATCGATAAATAAATTTTTTCCATTGAGATGTGTTCAATTTCACTCGCGATGACAGCAAAATTTTCATTCCTCACATTGCGGAACATTATTTAGCGTGAATTTTTCTATTTTGAACATAATTATGCCTCGTGAGACTTCATACATCGTAATATCGTTTCGAAACATTTCGAAAAATTTAAATTGCTTATAATTTTTTACATTTCATATAATAATTAAAAATTTTTTGTAACGGTAATGTAAGACGGTGTAGCGTATTTAATTTGCAATTTGCATAATCAATTGAGTTCGTTATAAAATCACTTCAACGCAAACACGTAAGATTGTTTTATAAATGTGAAAAAGCAATTATTGTTTATAAAGTTGGTGCCTTTTGTTCGGTTGTTCAATCAATTTGGTACACTGATGGTTCTTTCATCACCCATCAAATTTATCTTTCCATCGGAAACCACTCCGACCTGAACAAATGAAAATTAATTTTCAAAAATTATAGAGAAATGAATGCTTGCTACATAACCACACCTATGCACGTGCATGCAATGTGTATATGTATATATATGCGTGTGTGTGTGTGCGTGCGTTTGTGTGTATTATGCGTGAAAGGAAGAGAGAGAGAGGGCCGTGCCAGAGGTGGACATGGGTTGGGTTAACCCATGGGTTGGGTTGGGTTGGGTCCAAATTTTTTAAAGTTGCGTGGGTTGGGTTGAAATTTTCAAATTTTATTATAAATAATTTATTTCTGTATTTTTTTTATTCTTAAACGAACATTTTAACTAGTTAATAATCGGTGTATTTTATATCGCTGTAATATTATTGTATCTTTGGTCTATCGTTTCCACTTTCTTTTTGTGATTATTGAGTTGAGCAAAAGTTACTTCTTTCTGATCGAGAAAATTAGTTTTATTTACAAGTATGGCAGAATCAGAAGAAATTCAGCGTCATTTGAGAGATTTGTGTGATTTAAATTTGCTAAGTTTGCGAAAGTAAAAAATGTAATAAATTTCACATTAACATTTTTACATTTTTTATGTTTTAATTCCTTTAAACTTTAAAGATTTAATTGTTATTTTTCATAATTTCAAATCTCTTCAGTCTTTACAGTTACACTTTACAGATATCAGAATTTTTTCTCAATTGCTCATTTTACTTATTTACTTGATATTCATGTTTCATTTTCTTTCTTTTTTCTACCTAGAAATGGTTTATTTTTCAAATTTTAGTTGGGTGCTGTTGAAGTTTAGAAATCACATTCATTAGATAAATTTAATTGATTGATTGAACATACTTAAGTATTTAAATATTTATTCTTTCCAGAAAAAACAGGGAGGTTTATATTAAAAGCACCCACAAATTTAAAATCAGAAATCTGGCAGAAATTTCACATGGTTTTTCAAAAAAAGGAAAATGATGATAGCGAAATTCCTGTGAATTACTATTGTGCTTGTATTAAGTGCAATAAGGTATATCAATTTAAAGATTTATCAGGTAAAAACTTTGGCACTAAAAATCAGCAAGAACATATCAAACATTGTGCTGTAGTCTTGCCAAAGTCACAGTTGAAAATCCATCAATGCTTGAAACGAAAAATTCAACTGTCTTCTCAAGAATTAACGATGTTGAAGCATAGACAGATCTTTTTCTGTGTTGATGGTTACCACTCATTCAAATCTGTTGAAAATAAAGGGCTTCTCAATTTGATGCAGAGCTGTGTTGAGTTAGGTGCCAAATATGGAAAGTTTGATGTTTCTGATGTTGTTGTGGGAAGAAAAACCGTGAGTCGTGATGCAACATCAGTTGCAGCCTCAGTTGTAACTAAACTTGCTGAACGGCTTAAAGATCCGATAGATGATGGCAGTGTGTCGTTGTGTATTGATATGTTTACAGACGACTTTCGTAAACAGTCATACCTAGATGTGCACTGCTCCTGGATTGATCGTGACTTTACAAATCACCATGCAGCACTTGCCGTTTGTCACTTCGGAACCTCTTCACACACTGCACAAAATATATACACTGTCATGAGCAACATCCTTAGTGAATATGAAATACCAATTGATGAAGTCCCATTCACTACTGATCACGGCTCAAATATCGTTGCTGCATTGAAGTGTGGGGTTCGAGTTGACTGCATGTGTCATCGCTTGCACACTGTCCTAACGTGTGCTTGGAATGATACTAGACGGCAAGAGCCAGAGGCTGCAACATATGAAACTGCAGTTAGTGAACTATGCCGCTTTGCAAAGCAGTCAGTTGGCATTCAAGAGCAGCTTCCCAAGTCACTAAAGCATGGAGGTGACACGAGGCCTTGGGTGTCAATGCATCGTCGTTCTGAAGCTATAGAAGCTAGCTATGAAAAACTAGTTACTGTTCTGACAGCCAAAAATCGTCTAGAGCTTATTGCGTGTGTCAACAGAACATTTAACAAAGAAATTTGCGATATAACAAAAGCAATTTCAGATACATTCAAGACATTGGAGAAGGTTGATGAGCCAACTTTGAACCTCATAGGACCATCATACTATCTACTAATAAAGAAGTTTGCCCCTGCTGTTCGAGATTCGCTTCCAATGAAAACTTTTTAAAAAAATCTGATAAAATATATGGATGAAAAGTTTTGGCAGTCTATTGTTGCCTTACATTGGATGGCATCATTTTTGGATCCATCGTTCAAGAAGTTTGACTTCATACCTCAGGTATAATAGTAGTAATTATTATATTCCTAATGACATTAACTAAACTAACTTGATTTTCTTTTTAGATTTCAGCTGAAGAGAAAAAATTTAAACGCAACTTGATGGCTGATCTGGATGTTTGGATGATGACAGAGTTGGATCTTGTTGCTAACAAGATGCGTCAGCGCAGACATGCTGCTGGAATGGAGTCGAGAGTTGCTGGGTTAGATTGAATTATTCTGTTGATATTGTAGATATGTTAAGATGACAAATATTGTGTCATACATTACCAAGAATAATTCTGCATATTACATATTTTAATTTCACTATTTTCTCTACACAATTATTTTCATTTTTTTGTTCATCATTTCAGTACATCAGCACAGCAGGATGTTGAAGATGATTACACTCAGCCAACCAAGAAAGCACGCTTTGATCCTTTTGCTGACCTACGGGATGGCTGTAGCTCATCAACCAGTAAAATTTCAACTGCTGAACTTTCAGGTCATGAAGAATTGGCTAGATACAAAGCTCTGAATGTTCCTGCCAACCACAAATCACTACTAGCTTACTGGCAAGACAATAGCAAAGACTTTATACTTCTTTCAAATGTTGCCAGACGAGTGTTATGCATCTCTGCCAGTTCAGCACAATCTGAAAGAGATTTCAGTTCAGTTGGTCGCACAGTCACAGATGCTCGATCCAGTCTGTCGGCACGAAAAGTTGAAGAACTGGAATTAATTAGATGGGGTTGTCGAGCTTCCGTAATAGATATTGATAAACTCTAGTGATCACTCAGTGTGGAACAGTGACTATAAATCGATGAAGAAAAAATAAGTAAAATATTAGTAACATTTGATTTTTAATTAATTTTCATGTTATTTTATTACACTTGCAGTGTGATTACTTCACCAGTGTGTTTTATTACACATATGATCTTGTATTTTTGAGTTCTGCTTTTTAAATATCATTTGTAAAAATTTGCCTGTTTGGTAAAATTGCGACTCGTGCAGATGGGTCGTGGGTTGGGTCGGGTCGGGTTGGGTTGAAAAGTTGCATTTTCAGGCGGGTTGGGTTGGGATGGGTTGAGTTAAGTGATGGGTTGGGTTGGGTTGGGTCAGTAAAAATGGACCCATGTCCACCTCTGGGCCGTGCAAGCGTGCTTGTATGTCTGTACAAAAAATCGAATGGTATGTAATGAATATAAATATTATGTATGAAATTTTTTTAAATGATCACTTTGGTAATGTAGTGGGTAACTATTTCTCTGTCTGCCGGACAAGACTCCAAAAAGGCGTCAGTAGAATATGCATTTTTTAAATAAGTCCACAAGCTTTTAAATTCCGTTGGAATCTCAAAGCCTCTGTAAGCCTAAAAAAATTAATAAAGTTTAAGTTTTTACTCATCCCATCAATTAACTAATGACTGATCATTCGAACTTTTAATTATTACGAAGCTTCCGAGTAACAAACATTCAAGTGAAACTACTTCGGAACACACAAATTTAAACATTTTAAAACATAATAAACACTAAGTGGCTTTACGATATGAATAAATAATTTAAAACGCAGACACACACACATAAACACAAAGTGACTTCACGATATATACATTATTGAATTAATGAATAAATAATTTAACTTAACACACAGACACACATACACACACGTATATATACATATATATGTATATTTATATATGGATATATATACTATACACACCTATATATACGTATATATATGTATATATATATATATATATATAAATTATGTTTGTAGTTCGTTTTTTGGCGTTAATATGTTTGTAGTTCGTTTTTTGATTCGATAGATTTATAGAATATTGTAATATATATATATATATTCTTCACAAGTACTTCAGCACAAGGTTCAGTACTTTGACCGCTGCTGTTTTTGCTATACACTGCTGACGTTTTCGACATCATTGATTCATTCAGGTTCAAGCATCATGGGTTTGCAGATGACATACAAATCATTGTCAGTGGTCCAGCTACTTCATTTCAAGCTCTTGTTGAAAGATTTGGTCAGTGCATGGAGGCGATTGATTCTTGGATGATCAAGCACAAACTCAAATTGAATCAATGCAAAACCCAGTTATTGCCAATTGGTACGTGCAAGCAAATAAACAAATTAAATTTCACTTCGATTGAGATTAACAACAGTAAAATTGAATTATGTCAAGTTGCTCATAATCTTGGTGTTGTATTCGATGGTAATATGACAATTGAGTGCCACATAAAGTCGCTAACCGGTGAATGTCATCGACAATTTCGCATGATGAAGGCTATAAAAAATTCACTTAATGAGATTACCCTAAAGAGTTTGGCTCACGCGTTTATTCATTCGAGGCTGGACTATTGCAACAGCCTTTTTTACGGTGTCTCCATGTTGGAAATTTCCAAACTGCAGTCGATTCAAAATCGCATGGCCAAGCTAGTTGTCGGAGGTTTTAGATCTGATCATGTGACGCCGATTTTACGGGATCTGCACTGGCTTCCGATTGAAAAGAGAATTATCTACAAGATTGATGTTTTGATGTACAAAGCTTTAAATTGGCGTGCTCCTCCGTACTTGGTTGGTAAATTGACTAAACGTGATTCAACGTCTGGTTATCCAGGATTGAGATCCAACAATAGGAATTTGCTAGACGTTCCTCAAACCCGTTTGGTGATTGGTAAAAGAAATTTTGCTGTTGCTGGACCGATGGTGTGGAATAATTTGCCAACCTCACTCCGTCTACCTGGAATATCATTTCCTCTATTTTGTAAACAATTAAAGTTGCTGCATTTTAAGCAGCATTTCGGTTCTTGTAATTAAATGTGTGTTGAATTTTTGTACATACCTAGTAACTTGTGTGGATAAATCCTAAAAATCGTTATTTGAATTAGTATTACTTCTTTTTGGTCATCTATTTATTTATTGATTTTGTGTTAAATATATGTGTGTTCTGACATTTAACTCGGTGACAATCAACTTTCTTTCTTTTTTCTTATTTATTTTTTCTTGCACTTATTGTAGGCGCTTTTGAGATTTTATTAAAAAGCGATTTATAAATTTTCATTTAATAATAATAATAATAATTTAATAACATATATATATATAGACCATGGTAATAGACCATAATTTTTACTACAATATTCTATAAATTCTACGCCAAACATTCGGTAGAATTTATAGAATATTGTAAAAATATATATATATATATATATATATATATATATATATTGGATTAAGACTGTCAGAAATGCAATTATTGATGAAAACCACAGCATGTTCGGCGTTAGTTTAACTTTTCAATAGCATGTTCGGCGTTAGTTAAACTTTTCAATTTAACTTTTTGATTTTCTCTAGTTCAAAACAAAAATTTTTGTTTGTTTTATGCATAACAAAAAAGCTTTTTTCGGTATTCTTAGACTATCTTCGGTTTCCAAATTTATATAAATATATATATAAATATATATCAGTAAATTTCGGTAACAAATTTTCATTTAAGCATATTTCATTAAACGCGATGCTTATATTATTGTTATTTAATTTTTTATTAAGATTTTCTATTTTTCTTATTAGTTTTTTATAATTATAATTTAAATTAAAAATTAGAACACCAATATTCATTATATAATTTTTTATTAAGCGACGTTTCGAATTTTATAATTCATCTTCAGGCAACTTAATATTAATTCAAATAAAACATAACAATAAACAGTCAGATGACGTAATAAGAGTTGAGCGCGAAAGTAACGTAACGATTAAAGTTAAATAACGTAAGTAGTTAAATTAAGTATAATAAACAATTATTTTGTAATATAACTTAATAAAATATATTATATGTGCAATATCATGTTAATAATAATAATAATAAATTAAACATTTCGTGATGAAGGTAAAATAAAATTGGAATAAATTTGTTTGTTCAAATTAGGTTTATAAATATTAATAAATAGGGATTCTAAAATTTGTAGTCTGTTAAAAATAGTGTCTTTCATTAATATTTTAGTATTATCTTCTAATATTTTGCGGGATAATTGCTGGTTGTGGCAGTCATGGTAGTGTTGATTTGGAGCTCCGATGTTCAAATGGCAGGTTAAACGGCGTGTCAGTTTTGTGGTAGTCATTCCAATATAAGAAGATGGACGAAGCCTACAATAATATATTGTAGGCTTCTTTTACGTTACTCAAATCTTATTACGTCATCTGACAGTTTATTGTTATGTTTTATTTGAATTAATATTAAATTGCCTGAAGATGAATTATAAAATTCGAAACGTCGCTTAATAAAAAATTATATAATGAATATTGGTGTTCTAATTTTTAATTTAAATTATAATTATAAAAAACTAATAAGAAAAATAGAAAATCTTAATAAAAAATTAAATAACAATAATATAAGCATCGCGTTTAATGAAATATGCATAAATATATATACATATGCTTGAAGGAGACCATAT